TCATTAATTGCTTTTAAATTTCAGCTTGGTTAGTTTTTAGTTCTTTTATTTCTCCAGAAAGGGATTTTATTTCTCCAGCAAGGGATTCTCTAGTATCTTCCATGTTTTTTTCAAGCCCAGCCAGCACCTAGATAATCATTATCCTGAACTCTAGTTCTGCAATGTTACTAATGTCTGTAATGATTAGGTCCCTAGCTGTTGGTACTGTTTCTTGTTCTTTCTTTTGTGGTGAGTTTTTCCACCTTGTCATTTTATCCAGATAAGAACAGATAAATGAGAGAACAAAATACTAAAAGGGTAGCAATGATCCCCGAAAAAATATACATTAACCAAATTAGAAGAGACCCGAAACCAGGGGGAGAAGTAACGGGGAAAAAAAGAAAAAATATATATACTAGATGGGTGAATAGAACAGAACCACACACTTGATTTTGGGTGTATTTTGGTCTGTTAGAAGAAACTACCTCCCAAAATTTTTAAGAAAGAAAAACTTGTATATATACAAAAATGAGGGTAAACAGGATGAAGGGATTGAATATTATTGTAAAGATGAAAATTAAAAAAGGTTCTAAAAAAGGAATTGATAAGATAAGAAGTTGGTTGAAAAAAGAAAAAAAAGAGGAAAGAATATGATCAGGCTGGAGACTAGAACAAAGCCATGTGCTAGATTTAGGGTATATTTTGATCTATTAGAAGAAATTATATCCCAAAATTTTAAAGAAAAACAAAACCTATATGTATATAAAAATAAGGTTAAATACAGTGAGAGGATAAAATATGATTATAACAATGAAAATTAAAAAGGATTTTTATAAAGGTATTGATAAGGTAAAATAGTTAAAAAAATGTTAAAATAGGAAAGAGGAAAGATTTAAAAAATAGAATAAGAAAAAAATTTTTAAAAATTAACTTTGCAATACTAAAGGATCATGTGAAAAAAGCCGTGAATTCTATGTGTTGCTTTCCACTAGCTCTGGAGTTCCTCAGTTCTTATTGATTGATGAACTTGGCCTTGGCTGGATGTTCTTTTTGATCTTCTGGGGGAGGGGCCTGTTGCAGTGATTCTCAAATGTCTTTGCCCAAGGCAGAATTGCACCGCCCTTGCCAGGGGCCAGGCTAAGTAATCTGCTCAGGTTTGCTCTCGGAAGCTTTTGTTCCCAGAACACTTTCTGTAGCGCTCTGGAGGTCTGGAATGAAAATGGCGGCCTCCCAATCTCAGGTGCGGAGGAGCCAAGAGCCAAGACACACTCCTAAGTGTGTCCTTGGAGAAAAGTGGTCAATCACTCCTGTCTCCTTGGTCTCCGGCTGCGATCTGAGCTCACCTGATCTGTGACTGAGAGTTTCTATCTCTGGCTCACAGCCCCGTTTATAGTCTCCAAACCCCAGCACACTCCTGCACTGCTCTTCCCAGAGGACAAGATGAGTCTTCCTGGATCTGCCACTTGTGGGATCCCTCGAAGAGCAGTGGCTTGACTGCACCTTGGATCATGGTTTAAGGTAATTCCAAACCAAGAGCCTGCTTCACAGCTCTGTCTCTGCAGCTGGCTTCCCTGCTCTGATACCTGGGAGCTCTGCCACATTCAGACACCCCTGGTCTTTCTGTGACCCTGAGGGATCTGAAACCATACTGTCCCTGGGAGGACTCCACCCCCTGCTTAGCCTCTGGAGTGATGTCCCTCAGTGGATCAGACTTCTCAAAGTTCTGATTTTGTGCTCCACTGTTCTCTCACTTGACAGAAACCTTCCTCCCCCCACCCCCGCCCGCTGTCTATCTTCCCGTATGTTGCCTCGGATTCACTTTTTCGCACGTCCTACCTTCTGCAAAGTGCTCTATTTTCTGTTCCTAGAGTTGCTGCTCTTCTTCTCTTTGATCTCTTGTTGAGGTTGTAGGTGTTCAGGATGGTTTGATAACTATCTAGCTGAACTCCTGGGACCTGATGATATTTTGGTCTCCTGCTCCTCTACATCTTACCCCTCTTCCTTAAAGGATTCTATTTTTAAATAATCTCTATACCCAACTTGGGGCTGGAACTTACAACCTTGAGGTCAAGAGTTGCATGCTCTACAAATGAGCCAGCTGGGTGCCCCTCTGATAATAACTCCTATTCTAATAAAGACTCCTAGTTTAGATTCTTCTAGGCAGTTAGGGAGGGGGAATGATTCCCCTGAGGCCACAGGGTCTTTATTGCTTTCAGTTCAAAATATTTCAAAGTGGCATATTTTGGGGAGATTTGTTCTGAATCCCTTCATTTTCAACTCTTTATTAGAAAAAATACATACTCTAACCAGAGTTTTCTTCCCCAAGCAGAGCCAACCACATCAAGTTAGGATAGTAATGTACACTCCACTGTTTCTTGCTCTCACTGACTAACATAGGACCACAAAGCCTTGCAAAACCATCCATAAGAGGGTGTCCAATGATTTGTTTTCCATTAGCTGGTGAATAAATCCATTTCCACCAATAGTTTATGCTACTTTTCGAGGCACAATGCTACTTTTTTGGTCTTTTTTCTTGTGGGGTCACTATTCCATAAAGGAGCCAGGCCATAAGGGTGGGTTGCAAAGCAGTGCTCCATGTCCAGGTCCTTTTTAGTTTTTATTTACACCTCCTCTCTGTGTTCTTATGGGATATAGATTAAGAGGTAAATCCAAGAGATAGTCCCCATGCTGTTCAGAATCTTTTCTTACTGTCAAGGTCTAAAGAACTTTCTATTGGTTCAAACTCAGCCAGAGTTCCCTCTGGGAGACTCCTTAGTCTTCATGAAAATAGGATTTTGACTAAAGAAGCCAAGATATGCCCAGAGCTGTACTTAGACCCAACAGGAAATCCCAACCCACCATCTTAGCCACTATGCAAAATATTTTCTTTATTTCTATATTCCTTGAGCTCCTGTCATGTATTCAGCTGCTACTTGTCACCTCCATATACCAGCCTTCCCATTTTTAAAGCGGAAGAGTTAGGTTCTTGTCTCATGGAGTTGAAGAATGAATCTCACAGACAAAGAAGAGTGAGCAAAGGGTTAGAAATTTATTAAACAAGGATACAGAAAAAGCTCTCTGGAGTGAAAGGGGTCTGGACAGGGTTGCCAATGAGGGCCTCCACTGTCAGTCTTTTATTTAGAACTGACCAGGGAGCTTGTGGTCATATCATTCTTGTGATGTCTTGGCTTGAGTAAGGACTGGACTGGTGATAACATCTTTAATGGTTTACTTCTTTTTTTTAGGGTCTGGTCATTCTTTGTTGATCACAGATGACTATCATAAAAAAGACAACTCTCCCCACATGTCTAGGGCAGGGGTCTGGTTTGTTCCCTTATCTCTGGTTTCCTTACACCTCCACATTTTTGTGATTTTTGTGAGCCTGATCCCATAGCCCCCTACCTATCTATCCCTACCTAGCCTTACCTGTTCCTTACTCATTTTCAGTATAATACTACCCAGTCTTCCAAATTCTCAGGCCAAAATATTGGAGTCCCCCTTGATTTTTTTTTCACACATTGCATGTAATCCATTAGCAAATCTGATTGAAATATATCTGGAATCCACCCACTTCTCCCCACTCCCTTTTCAATCAACCTATCTTCACCTCCAACCTGGATTATTGCATTACCTTCCTAAGTAGTCTCTTCACTTCCTTCCCTGCCCCTACTCTATATTCTCCTGAAAGCAGCCAGAAGCATCCCTTCCATAATAGAAGTCAGTTATATCATTCCTTTGCTCAAAACCCTCCAAGACTTTAATTTGGAGATGAGCAACATGAAGAAATAGCCCCCACACTGTTTCCATTTTTTACTGGATGAGTGGCAACAGATATGTACAGCGTCTGAGGGTTGCGGTTTAAAAGGTGGAAGCTTTCTAGAGTTGCTGGTTGCCAGCAGTTGTAGAAGAATCCTTTGGTGCTTGACAGCAACAGAGGTGATGGCTTTCTTATTGGCCAGACCTGGGCATTGCTCTAAGAAGGGTAGACTGTAGTCTGTGTTTCCAGCCCCCTCAGTCACCTGGTCAGGTAATTTCTTTTAGTAAGGGCCTTTTCTGCTTAATTTTGCCAGAATGACTTCTTTTGTTTGCAACTAAGAATCCCAACTTTTTGAGGAGGGAAAAAAAAACCTACTAGAAGATTCCTTTTTTTTAACATTTTGGTGCACTTTTCAACATTTCATAGACATATGTGTGTTTTTAATATATACATATATAATATACATGCAGAGATTTATTTGTTCAACGAGGACATGATTTTATGCAATTTTGTATCTTGATAATTTTTCTCTACTTATCTTCATTTTATAAGTATGTTTTTGGCTATTTCAAGTTTTCATTAACATTTTGAGGGCTGTACAATGTTTCCTCAAATTAATGCATTGTACTTTAGGTAACAAATTATTGTTGGATATTTAGATTGTCTTCAGTTTTTATCTTCTTCATATATAATGCTGCTATGATTATATTTATATATAAGGTCTATTCCAAGTTTAGTAGGATTGATTCCTTAAAACTGAATGACTGGGTAACAAGGTATGAATGTTTTTAAGATTCCAAATATATAGTGTCCAATTACCCTCTTAGAACTTGTATTAATTTATACTTCCAACACCATCATGTGGGTATTGAGGTCATATATTATCCTAAATTTTGGAATAATGTATAAATATGAACCTGGTTGTACATATTGTCTTAAAGAACCTGAGCTAGACACCAGCTGAAGCAGTAAACATAGATTTTATTTAGAAACTATTGCAATAGGGGTAAAGAGTCCCCAGGATAGAACTGGGCTCAATTCTGAATGCAGTAAAGACAACTCAGGATTTACAGCCAAGAAACAAGAGTTGAGGAGGGCGTTGGGGGATGGAAAATTATAAAGAGCAGGCCATACTGATTGGATATCATGAGGAATTTGATTAGATATTAAAGATATGTATATATGTATATATATGTGTGTGTGTGTGTGTGTGTGTGTGTGTGTGTGTGTATGTATCAAGGGTGAGGGATATTTTCTCTTACAGGGGCCAAGGAAAGGCTACCTCAAGATGGGCTCACTCCGGAGGCTTATGCTGAGATTATTTTGAAGCTGAAGATTATTTTGAGCTGAAGGTAAGCAAGACCCTGTGAACTCAAGAGAAGTTTTTGCCCCTCCCTTAACTAGATAGAATAATCTAAACTGGGGGTCTTTCCCAGAACAGGGATTATTAGCAGAGATAAATTTTATCTGAGTGAACCATCTATATGTCAGGAGAAGCATCTAATTACCAAACATCTGCTCTTCTTATCACTCTGTGAAGTACATTCCTTTCCTCTGAAGTCCTAGACCTCTACCCCCTTCTTAATTCAAGAAGACATATATACCTTGTTTTGCTTGACTGCCTTTGGAATTTCTTAGTCTACGTGGATTCCCTGTACATACATTATTAAATTTTATTTTCTCCTGTATGTCTCATGTCACTCTGATTCTTAATCCAGCTAGAAAGACCTTGCAGGGGATGGGAATTCTTGCTCCCTGATACTCTCAGCTGATAGGATTGTTGATAAAGTTGGGCTATGCAGGTCTGGCAAGGGTGGGAGTTGGGGACAAGGTTGAGGCCTAGTCAAGAACAGGACTTTGAGGAGTCTGACTGAAGTCCCATCAAGGAGATCATCTGGTTGATGTACATATTAAGTACTTCTTTTCTATCCTTTTGCATGCTGAGTTTTAGTTTATCACTTCCTGACTTCAGTTTCAGCCACACAGACCTCAAGGAACAGTTTTTTCCAAAGAGGAAGTCACATGGAACTTCTAAATTTTGCCTTTCACATAACAAGAGAGATGGCATCCAAATGAAATTTATAAGCACTGGGATCAATTCTGCTCAATCTTAAAGAGAGTAGTCACTCTTAAAAATATGAACTCAAAGATGATATTAGCATGAGACTTGAGTAACATATATTTCTGAACTCTTAAACGTTGCCACACTTGTCTTCCTATATATATACACAAGAATTATGTATACACATTTCTAAAAACTTCCCCTAGCTTGATCTGTTTCAGAGGAAAACATTTACTGAAGCATCACATCCTCTGGTTGCATTTCTTAGTTTGGTAGGAGTCCAAATATGACTTAACTCAGTTTTAGCATAAAATCTGCCTGATGCTCCTTTTTCTGTTTCTCTGTGGAGCGATGCTGTTCTGATTTGAAGGAGGCAAGAGAGAAGTTCTTATTGTGCCCTCCCTCAAGTGCCTTCATGGGCCTTTACAGGGGCGACCTCAGAGCCTGCTTTATGTGCTACCACAGTTACACAACCAGTCTCACAGTAGCTCAGCAAAGAGCTTGGTACCAACGGCACATTATGTGCAGGAAGAGGAACTCTCTTGTGGAGAGGCTGAGAGCTGGTATGTAGTTACCATAGCAACAAACCTTCGCCTTCCGCCATTCTGCTTTTACCCTGCCCGACACTGGGAAGCCAAATAAGCCTATCTGGACTATTCCGCTTACACCAAGAGGGTGGCTCTCTTCTGCCAGTTCACCATGGTCCTTTCACAAGACAGAGATCCATGATCTTATACTTTCCATTATAGTGTGGCCCACCATGTTCTCAGTTAATGTTCACCCTCATTAGTATCCTGGAAAGTGTGTACTATATAGCTAAATTTTTGATGAGGAAATTAAGTGTTAAGAAATTTCCTCGAGTTTACAGTAAATGAAAGAAGCTTCTTGATTATATTTTTTATTAAAGATTTTATTTATTTATTTGAGAGAGAGAAAAAGAAAGGCAGAACATACGTAGAGGTGGAGGGGCAAAGGAAGAGGGAGAAGCAGACTCCCCCCTGAGCGGGGAGCCCCATGTGGGACTTGATCCCAGGACCCTGGGATTATGACCTGAGCTGAAGGCAGATGCTTAACTGACTGAGCCACCCAGACACCCCTTATCTCTCTTCTTTATACCAATGACTCATATCCATATCCTGTGCATTTGACAGTTCACATCACCACAATTTGTCATTGTTTTTAATCAGCTCTCCCCAGTATTTCTGGGTTATGGCCATTTGAGAACCACCACGTGGTTTCTCTTTGCCATAATGAAAACTTTTCTCTAGCAAAGTACTTAGGTTGAAGGCACTTATTCATTCTCATTCTCTGTATCTTAGGATGTCAGGACCAAAATTCTCCCAGGTTTCTACTGCTGCTTCCAGTGTTACACAAGCTTTCTTCAGTAAGACTTTGTGAGTACATGGCATCCATTTGCACTGAATTCCATTCTTACCCTCATCCTCCTCAGACCTCCCCTAAAGTCCTCAAGGACTTGGGCCATAGCCTATAGCTGTTGTCTCCATTTGGATATCTAACACCCTGCACAAACTTTTTAGCCCAACTTTTTAACTCAACTTCATTGATTTTAAGAAATCATTCACATGGATTATCAGCTAGGGTTGCTCCACTTCCAAACTCCAACTGGCATTACTCTACCTCCAAATTCCTACAATCTTCTGCCTCCCACCTCCCAGTCCCTGCTACTAAATCTGCTGCCTGTGCTTTTGGTGACTCAAAAGTTTCTCATCTTATTCCTTCACTCATCATCCCCTTGACTCTGGCCTGCTTGTTCCTTTTCACTATCTAGCCTAGATACCAATGATCAGGAATCACAAGCATGTTCACACCAGTATCTTCCAAATTCTCATTTTGGGATCTCTCTGTGAGCTTGGTCAGCCAATCCTTGATTAAAGAATGTGTGTTGGTTTAATTTTTACTAAGTAGAATTATAGAAAGTAGAAAAACCATGTTGATGGTCATCATCATTATGTTTTTTTGTTGTTGTTGTTCCTCAGCATTTTAAATGAGATACATTTTTTATTTTGAGCAGTGGTGTATCCAAGCCTTTTGCAATCCTTAAGCCACTGACCCACCCTGAGAAACTGGTCTTCTGTAATTCAGCTTCCTCAAGCTTCCGGCAGGCACAAAATGCCAGGTTCTTCTCTGAATCAGTGATTCTGTTCCTTTTGACACAAGTGTCATTTTCTTACTTCTTTCTTTGTCCAACTCCTACTTATCCCATAAGGCCCAACTCAAATGTTTCTCATTCTCTGTTGCACTTTCTGACTCTCCTTTCCTCTGTGTTCTCTTTTTCCCTTTACACACATGTTTTCCTTTTCCACTAAATTATGACACAGAAGCAGTTTGTTTTCATTACATTACCTCTTACCATCTTTCCTTCTGCCTTAGTCCTCTCAAGTTTTACAACAAAATATAGACTGGGTGGCTTATACAACAGACCTCTATTTCTCACAGTTCTGGAGACTGGGACATCCCACCATCTGTGGGCAGGCAGATTCAGTTGGTGGTGAGAGGCCTCTTTCTGGCTTGTAGAGGGCTGCCTTCTCACTCTGTCATCACATAGTAGAGAAAATGAGAGAAAGAGAGAGCTCTGGCTTCTTCCTCTTCTTATAAGGACACTAATCCCTTCATAGGGGCTCCACCTTCACAACCTTATCTAGACTTAATTACTCCCTAAAGACCCTGTCTCCTAATACCATTACATTGAGGGTTAGGGCTTCAACATATGAATCTGGAGGGGATGCAAACCTTCAGTCAATATACCCTCTAATTCAGAATCCTGACCTCAAATTATATTAAGTAATCAGAAGCCTGGTGGGATATTGGACAAGATACACTCTAGAGTTGGGGCATTGCAGGATCTGAGTCTTTAAATTTGTGCCATCTAGTGCCATCGCCACTAGCTACATGCGGCTTCCTGAGCACTGGGACTGTAGCTAGCCTAAACTGAATTGTGTTCTAAGTATAAAATATACACTGGATTTTAAAGACTTAGTATGAAACAAAAGATGTAAAATATCTCTTTAATACTTTTAATATTGATTGAATGTTGAAATAATACTACTTTGGGTAAGTTAGATTAATAAAGTCTGTTATTAAGATTAATTTCACCTGCTGCTTTCTACTTTGTTAATATAACTACAAAATATTTAAAATAGCAGGTATGGCTTGCATTATATTTCTATTAGTGATGTTTAAATAAATATATATATATATGATAGGCAGTCAATGCCACCTTGCCTCATTATTAGAAGATTCTAGGCTATCTGCTCCTCCCTGTTCAACAGACAGCTGCATCTTCTGGTGCAGTGCCATCCACAATCCCCTAGGCACAATGGTGAAAGTCGGAGGAAATGGATTTGGCCCTATTGGGTGCCTGGTCACCAGGGCTGCTTTTAACTCTTGGAAAGTGGATATTGTCACCATCAGCAACCCCTTCATTGACCTCAACTGTATGGTCTACATATTTCAGTATGATTCCATTCATGGCAAATTCCATGGTGCTCTCAAGGCTGAGAATGAGAAACTTGTTATCAGGGGAAAGCCCACCTCCATCTTCCAGGAGCCAGAGCCTGCCAATGTCAAAAGGGGCGATGCTGGTGCTGAGTATTTTGTGGAGCCCCCTGGGGTCTTCACCACCATGGAGAAGATGCTCACTTGAAGAGTGAAGCCAAGAGGGTCATTATTTCTGCCCTTCTCCTGAGGCCCCCATGTTTGTGATGGGTATGAACCACGAGAAGTAGGACCGCTCCCTCAAGACTGTCATCAGTACTTCCTGCACCACCAACCCTCTGACCAAGGTCACCCATGACAGCTTCAGCATTGTGGAGAGACTCGTGGCCACAGTCCATGCCATCACTGCCACCCAGAAGACCATGGACAGCCCCTCTGGGAAGCTGCAGTGTGATGGCCAAAGGGCTGTCCAGGACATCATCCCTGATTCTGCTGGCACTACAAAAGATCTAGGCAAGGCATCCCTGAGCTGAATGGGAAGCTCACTGGCATGATCTTTCATGTCCCCACCCCAATGTGTCAGTCATGGATCTGACCTGCCACCTGGAGAAAGCTGCCAAATACAATGACATCAAAAAGATGGTAAAACAGGCATAGAAGATCCCTTCAAGGGCATCCTGGGCCCAGGACCAGTTGTTTCCTGCAACTTTAACAGTGATGCCCACTCTTCCACCTTCAGTGCTGGGGCTGGCATTGTTCTCAATGACCATTTTGTCAAGTTCATTTCCTGGTATGGCAATGAATTTGACTACAGCAACCGGGTGGTGGACCTTATGGTCCATATGGCCTCCAAAGAGTAAGAGCTGCTGGACACTCATTAGGGGAGTCTGCTTCAGGATTCTCTCCCTCTACCTCTACCCCCAACCTTGCCCACATGTGCACCTGTGTGTGTGCTCTCTCTCTCTTTTTAAAATAAATAAATAAATTGTTTTTAAAAATTAAAAAAAACAGTCCTTTTCTTAAAGCAATTTATCTTAAGATAATTGTGGTGGCTAAACTTTTAAAATTATTACAAATACAGAAAAGATAAATTACTTTCTAAATCCATACACAGGAAAAAAATGAATAAATATTAATAGATTAATACTTGTGTTTGTGAAGTATTTGCATAATGTATGATGCTGCTAGATTTAATCATTCATGAGATAAGCTTGTCATGTATCTGAACGTGAGTACCTCGTTAGGTATCTGAACATAACCCAAGTGTTTCCAGGTAGGAATAAGGGATATAAACGGTCAAAGAGATAATGTAGCCAATATAATCATAACATCGAGACTTACCCAGTTAACATCTATACTATTCAAGTAGCTCCACACTTTTAGCCTAATAAATTTCTCACTTGGGAGAAGGAAATGGTTTTGAACTTGATCAACTCAAAGGAAGTGGTGGTTTCAACAAGATGTTGCTGTTTCCTTTCAACGTTCTAGTTCTTTTTTTCCCCTTTGTTTTCTTTTGGCAGTTTCTCTGCTAAAACAACTTTAGCATGTTATGCCAGTTGTGGTTCCGTGGGCAACTGTATTTTTATTACAGGCCATAAAAGACTATTTGCTTTCTTAAATATAAATACAATTTAAGAAACAAAAATGTTTTGGGGTGCCTGGGTGGCTCAGTCAGTTGAGTGTCTGCCTTCAGCTCAGGTGATGATCTCGGAGTCCTGGGATCAAGCCCCAGGTTGGGCTCCCTGCTCAGCGGAGAGCTTGCTTCTCCCTCTGCCTGTGCTCTCTCTCTCTCTCTCTCAATCTATCTTAAATAAATAAAATCTAAAAATAAAAGGAAAAAAGAGAAAAAAATGTTTTTAAAATCTTTGATTCCTTACTATTGCTATAAAATACTGTCCTTCATCTCTGACCCAGAAGTCCTGTATTTTCTCTCAGTATCCTTGAAACTGTGGTTGACTAACTTGTTAGTTTGCAAGCAACATACAGTCTTGGACCTTTCATAGTTATCTTTTTTAAAATTATTATTTTTTTTAATGGGAGGCTACTTAGATTTTTTCTTTATTCTCACGTTGGTTTTGAAGGTGGACTCATTCAAGAATTTGCTCATTCCAACTAAATCATTTAATCTATTGACAAAAAGTTATTTGTTAGTTTCATTTATTATTCTTCTAATTTCTCCTCCAGGATCTCTAGTAGTGTCCCTTGTTTTATTTCTGATGTTGGTAATTTTTGTTTCCTCTTTTTTTTTTTCATAACCGGTCTTGCTAGGGAGTTACCATTTTTATTAACCCAATATAGGTAGGCTCGGCCAGGATTCCATCCGGCTACCTACTGTAAGGAGGGCTAAGAGCTTAGGCCAAAGTCAGTGTTAGGAGAGCCTAACCCGACAGAAAGGATTGAGAAATTGCAAGCCACATCAAAAACCAAATGGGAACCCTACCAATGGATGGTGTTTGAGTTCATATGATAGCTAAGATTGAAGTCAGCAAAGACGAAACAAAATAAAATCACACACATGAAAACGTGAGTTTGTTCTGATAGCTGTTGGGTCCATTATCAAAGGAACAAGACTGAGACAAAGTTACACAAAGCCTTATTCTATGCCAAACATTAGAAGTTAAACTGACCGGCCAGGGAAACGAGGCTGAGACAAAGTGAAAGTTATGTAAAGCCTTATTTTATGCCAAGCATTAGAAGTCAGACTGACCGGCCAGGGCCGCCTCCGAAGAGAGCGACGCCCCTTGGTCTTACAGGCTAGTTTTTATAGAGCACAATTGCAGACATCTACATATGTGGCTTTGGCTGATTGGATGTCTCCTACCTGTGTGTTTTAGGAAAGGTTACCTGGAACCGATATTAGTAACTGCTGAGGTGTTTATTAAACAATAAAATGGCCTTGTTTTAGGTGTGTGTTTTAGCAACAGTTACCTGGAACTGATATCAGTAACTGTTGAGGCATTTATTAAACAACAAAATGTCTACCTAGGCAACATGGAGTCACTATGGCTAAGTAGGCCCAGGCAGGCCCTAGGGGGTTAACATGTTTTAATGTGGAATCGACCCCAACATCCCCCCCTTTTCTTTGGAGATTAGTCAATTCTTTAACTTTTTAAAGGATCAGTTAGTACTGGAATTAGGATGGGAACCGCAGGTTTTGTCTGTTTTATTCCTGCAGTAAGATGTTGGAATCCCTCAGGTCCTCTATAGGATGACAGTAAACGGTCCCTGCCAATGAGACTTTAAGTTTTTCACTCGGTGGCGGTGTATCCAAACCAAGTCTTTGGGTTGGTAAGGATGTGGTTTTACCTCCGTTTCTGTCTCAGTGTAGGCAGTTCGGATCCCTGTGTGGGCTCTTTTTAAGACAGACTGTAATGCCTGCAGTGACTGGAATACAGACTGATTAGTCATTTCCACTAGGGCAACCTCTTGTAGTCATGGGCAGAGTGGAGGGGGTCTCCCAAACCTTATTTTAAATGGGGTAACCTTGTTTAAGTAGGGTGTACATTGTGCCCTAAGGAGGGCGAAGGGAAGGAGATCTACCCATCCACCGCCAGTTTTCAGAACTAACTTTGTCAAGGTTTTTTAAGAGTCCGGTTCATTTTCTCTATTTGTCCAGAACTCTGGGGCCGGTAGGCACAGTGTAGTTTTCAATTAGTGCCCACGGCCTTGGCCAATGCCTGTGAGACTGAACTCACAATTGCAGGGCCGTTGTTTGACCCAATCACGAGAGGCAACCTAAACCTAGGAATTATTTTTTAGTAGTTTTTGGCTACTATTCCTGCCATTTTATGTTTGGCAGAAAAAGTTTTTACTCAGTCTGAAAAGGTATCTATAAAAACTAACATTTTTTATTTTATTTTTGTAAAATCCACTTCCCAATAAACTCCTGGTTTTTACTTCTTTCTTTTTTTTTTTCCCATCCTAGTTTTCCCGCTTCTACTGCCTGACATTGAGCACATCTATCAAC